GGCATTTTACGAGACGAAAACTGATCACATTCTGTTTTCCAAATCATTGGAGTAATTGATTTGGTGACAAACCTAAAAAAGCACCACATTTAACTCATACTTTTCAAAAAATCTAAGTAACCAAATGTAAGAAATAGAAACATAAATAAAAAGAAAAAAAAACGAACGATTTACAAATGGTAGCAGCGGCACGAGGTAGCTTTATATACCATTGACGTACTACTGCCGGTAGTATCGCGCAAGTGTTATGGAATAAACGAAAAGCGTATCGTGGAAGCAATGATCTTATTTCATTCCAATAATCTAAACGAAATCTATATACTTCATTGTCTATGTGAACTCTATTTTTTGGGCAATGAATAATCTGAGTGACGAATGGCTTTTTATATCCGTCACTAAAGTATTAGCAGATCAAAAAATTTTATCCAGAAGTAGGTTAAATCCAATCATTACTAGTAAAAATTACGTATCACCAGAAAAAAAAATCTGATAGTTTCAATATTTTCTAAATATTAACTTCCTTAAATTTTACTACTACATCTTCCGTTTATCTCTCTTTTCAAAAAAAAAGCTCCTGACAAAAACAATAAACAATAAAACGCAAAATTGGTATACCTTTTTTGGTAATATCTGTAATCTCCACAAAGGCATTCACATCTGCAAAAGAATTCATCATTTTTCGTTTCAAACTACCATTGCAATAAATGTATATCCTTTTAATTAATCCTTCACGTATCGTTTTCGAAAAAAGAACAAACACCGAGAAAAAAGTGATTAGAAAAACTTAAATAAATGAGGATCTGGAAGAAGGCTAAACAGATGAGGCATGATTTGATCAATGTATGGACCCATAGCACTGCTATACGCCACTCTTTCGAGTAGTTCAAATTGACTTAGCGAACTGATAAAAGCATCCCAAATAAGCAACTTCGGTGATAAAATATTGTCTGTTATAGTATCATCCAAAATTCGCGTAAAGGGCACAGGTAAATGTTTTTGATAACTAGAAGGAAATTTCTCATCTCCTATATCGTTTTCCTCGTTGCGATTATTTTGTATCTTCAACATGTTCTTTGTTATTCTGTAAAAAACAAGAAAAACTAGTCACAATAAAGTTAATGAATGAAATTAACACATTGAAAACAGGAGGTTCTTATTATTTTCCCATTATTGACACTTTTATGATTAGTACGTGTTGTAGGCTATTCCATAAGATAGGTGAAGAATTTTTAAATCTCGCTGAAGGAAAGTAAAAAAAGATCATTATTTCAAGGAAAACTACTAGGAAATTTATAACCTTTCTGATCATTACATGAACTTACAACTTCAATATTTTCAGCGCAGCAATTTGGACATCTGGAAAAGGCGAGTTGATTAGTGTGTGTAATGGTATCACTAGTGACTGTAGGTGCTCATCATAGCTGAAAGTGGTTCAGCAATTATGATCAATAGAAATTATTATTTTGTGGGCACATATCTCCGGCCAACTTCTTGAAATCAACAGTACCATGATAATTAAATTACTAATAGTCACTTCATAGTTCTAAGATATCATTTGTGGATGGAATATAGCTTCGCATGTGCTCTTTCATCTATTTTTATATAATATATATGTTACTTGAGGAGATCCAATTCGACATCAAAAACAGGTAATAGTGGGACAGTTCGAATAAATTCATCGGTTATGCAATTTATTGATAGGCAAAGAGCATTTTGAAGGCCCATCGAATGATAATATTCCTGATGCGAAGTCAGTCCCAAGAACCATGTGAGCAATATATTTTGCGCAGTAGGGCAGAAGAAGTCTGACCATTGCTAAATTTAAAAAATTTCAAATAAGAATTTAATTCAAAACTGAGTCCAATAAATTTTCATTAATCGTAGTAGAAAGACAATGTAAACCTGTCTGAAAGATGCTAACTTGACATC